CTTGCGGACAACGGCCCCCACCCCCTCCGCCCCCCTCTCACCGGTAACCCCCGGTGGTTAATCGCAGGCACTAGGAGCGGACAGACGGGTGCGCACCTGTCCCGCAAGGCGAGAGCGCGCGGTTTCTTCAGTCGGCTAGGCCATGTGTGCGCAGCGCGGCGCAGCGCCTTCTGCCGTCGCTGTCATCTGCACCCATCATCATCAACACCGTTCTGCCCCTCCGTGCTTCTAAATCCCCCTTGCGCGGTCCCCCCTTCCCCGCTTCTTTTCCGAAGCCACCGCTCATCAGCGCGTAACACGCGGACAGGCCACGTCAGCAGCAATGGAACATGCTGCCCGGCGCCTCAGCCGCCTTGCGGCACATCTCCAGGAGCAGCCCGAGGCCGATGACGTCTCAAAATATTCATCAGAGCAAGCTGTGGTAAGTTTTTTTTTTTTTCTTTTTTTTTTCTCTTTTTTCTTTTTTCTTTTTGGCTCTGGTTTACTGCTCGCGGAGACGAGAAGGACATGGGCCAAATCCGCCATCCCCCTCTTTTTTTTTCTTTTTTTTTTTTTTGCTGCCATCGCCATTTCTTTACAGCAGTGGATCAAGGTTCCTCTCCCCTTTCCTCACCCTTCCCCGCTTTCCGCTCTTCTCTTCCCCTCCCCCCTCCTTCCCCCCCCTCCCCGCTCTTCCCCTCTTTCCCCCTGCCTTTCCCCCCAAATTCCCCAATTCCCTCTAAGCCACAGATTCCACACGATTTCAATTTCATTTTGTCGCTTTCTTCCCCTCTCTTTTTCTTTTTCTTTTTCTTTTTCTTTTTTCCTCCCTTCGGTCTTCCCTTCCCCCCCCTTCCCCCCCCTTCCCCCCCCTTTTTTACGAGCTTTATTTGCCTCTCTCTTTTTCTGTTCTCAGTTTCCTTCCCTACGCCCCGCGTCTCGATCATCAGTCTGCCACGTGCCAGCATGACGAAAGTCTGCCACGTGTCGCTATTCCCTTTCCCTTTTGTATGTGCCAATTATCTGTCAGGTAGATGGGAAAAAAAAAAGAAAGAAAAAAGAGGATTGGAGGGAAACAATGTCCGTGTCTGTTTTTTTTAATAAATTAATTACGAACTTAAGTTAATTACGCAATTAAATTAATTACGTAATTAAATTAATTAGTTGGATTTCAGTGACTGATGAGGGATGAAGCTGCAACTTTGACAGTCTGTCACGTGTCTGCGTCCATGCATAAGATTTAGTTTTCTGGCTCGCGGCGCTCGTCTATTTCGATGACGTTTGATGGGTTAATCAACTTGATCTCTTAGATTGATTGATTGATGGATTGACGAATTAACATCTGGCTGAGATGGATAGACAGATGGGTATAGATTAAATTAGATCGGATTATATGAGATTAGATAAATAGATAGATAACCAGGAAGATAGATAGATAAACAGAAAGATAGATAATAGATAGATAGATAATAGATAGATAGATAGATAGATAGATAGATAGACGGAAAGATAGATAGATACATAAACAAAAAGATAGATAGATAAACAAAAAGATAGACAGATGGATTGATAGATAGATAGATGGGTAGGTAGGTAGATAGATAGATAGATAAATAGATAGATAGATAGATAGACAGATAGATGGGTAGATAGGGCCTAGCTGCACTACACAACACTCTACATGAATTTGGACGCTTCCCGAGATAAGTGCACTCGGACGAGTCCCATGTTTTCAATGTACAGGGTCCAGAAAGCGTCCAGATGCATGTAGAGTGTTGTGTAGTGGAGCAAGGCCCGGGCAGCCAGCGCTCAACCTGTCATCCACGTGGCTGGCCTTGTACGTAAGAGGTTATGAACAGGTGGAGCTTTCCTTACCTCCTTCCCTTTCCCTTTTTTCCTTTTCCTTTTTTCTTTTCCCTTTTTTGCGCTCTGATTCACAATGTGACAATANGGAGCTTTCCTTACCTCCTTCCCTTTCCCTTTTTTCCTTTTCCTTTTTTCTTTTCCCTTTTTTGCGCTCTGATTCACAATGTGACAATATATATAGATAGATAGATAGGTGTTCTGATATCTTAGGCGGGGCGCGCACGTATAGCAGCCGCGGTCGGGGCCTGCGCGGACAGCACGCGCGGACGGGCGCGTATGGATAGCACGCGCGGACGGACAGCCCACAACGACGTACATTGGGGCCAGGTGCATGCGCTCGCTCGCGCAGGCTGGAACGCATGCGAGCGGTGTTGTTTTGCTGGACAGCAAGAAATTGAATAGGAGCAGGGATTAAAAAATAATAATAATAATAATAATTAAAAAAAATGAAGAGGAGCAGGATGTGATGCCGTGGCTGCCTAAATTACAAGTTGTGATGAAATCGGTCGAGGGTTTTTTTGGGGGGGGGGGGGGGGGGGGGGGGGGTCGGCTATTCAACGTCCAATCCGGCAGTCCTTGGTGGGTTAGTGCTGTTATTACTACTTATGTTAATTGAACTTAATTTATTAAATTATTATTACAGTATAATATTATAATTATGCATAGCGGCAATACTTGGGAGTATTATTGTTGTTGTCGTCATTATTTATTATTTTCTTGTTATAATGTTATTATTATGTATAACCTTATATTAAAAATAACGATCTTTTAGTGCAGGTGAATAATTTTTTTTTTATTTAAATAACGATGTAAATGCCTTTAAGAATTATCTAGTTTGATTAGACTGATCCTCAGTGCTACTGCGTCTTGCCCCGAATAGAACGCACGGTCGTTGTAGAGCTGTATTTGGGGCAACTTTCCGTCTAGATGCGACCATGCGTTCTACTCGGGGGTGAGACGGTAGCAGTAGGTAGTGGTACTACCGTCTGCAACCTAATATCACGTACGGTCATTATTTCTGTACCTAGACTCAAACATGCTCCAAATACGGGTGCTGTAATGACCGAACGTTCTATCTGGGTGAAGACGGTAGTTGATTGATTATTCTGCGTCGGGCAAAGCGCATGTTGTGAGTGCATGCTGTACCCTCTGCCTCCGAACACAGCACCTGGTCACAAAGACTCACAATAACTGCATGTATCTATCCAGTATCACAGTCATATACATTCACGATGACTGGGCGTTCGTTGTGTTCGAGAGAAGAGGAGAAGAAGGGAGTGACTTATTTGAGCGCCATGGTTGCGCTCCTGAGTTTAACTTTCTGGCCAGATACATTTCATTGAATGAATGATTCTTATTCGTTATATTTAAGAGGAAGGAGAGGGAGCATGAGCATGAACCTGCCCTGATTCCAGTCCAGGGACTGAGAGCAATTCTGGCGAGATACATGGTTTTTTTTTTTGTTTTTTTTTTTTTTTTTTCCCGTTCGGTTTGAAAGGCCGAGGGCGGCCCTGCGTAATTCAGAGTGTTTATTTTGTTCTGGTCATCTGGTGGTATCTGGATTCGGAGTCTGGCCAGATACATTTCAGCATGAACCTGGTCTGATAGCAGTCCAGCGTCATTTCGGGAGGAAGGATTGCAAGCCCATTGGTGTACATGGGTGTACCAACTGAGCTAGGCCCAATGGTATACATGTTTTTTTTTTTTTTTTTTTGGTTCCTATTCCACCGGCAAGTAAAAAAAAAAAAAAAGAATAACAGGATACATCATAAGTACTCACCCACGCTTCCTTCCGTCCGGCCCAGTG